GGCAATTTGTAACGACACTTACCAAATGTGTTATTTAGGACTCCTGAGTTTGCTGACCCATGAGTCATTTCTTTTCTATAGATCATCCAAATTCATTCTCCTGTTTGACTGTATAATATACATTTTGAGTTGTTAATTGTTTATTGTATTTATTTTGCAGTTGCACTATGATCACTTGGTACTTGTTGATTATCTCATATCTAAAGATGTAGGTGTGCATTGTGCCCAGTATCTATTACGGTCAGTTAGTAGCTTCCATATTTTTTCTGATACAGTCAAATGACAGACACGTGTAGGCTCCCCAATGTGATGTCTATGTCTCTGTTCTCAGGTGCTTACGACTGGTATCCGGGTGTTGGGATGCTTTTGTCGATGATTCAGTTTACGAGGCACAAATACAAAAATTCAACTGTAAAAGGCAAAGAACCTTGAAAAATATAAATAGTTTAACTGGCAGCTCAATGGAAGGCACTAAGTTGGGTTCCTCTCATGACAAGGAAAATAAGAGCAAAGAACAGCTTTTCCTGAGTGCTAAAGTGTGTCTCCTTTCGTTAAAGCGAACTTTGGAGGATCTTCATAAGAAAGATTTATTCCCTTACAATCCAAAGCCTCTGCTTAAAAGGTCCGTGACCATGATGATCTTTTCCCTGCTTAGTTCAGTGATATATTTGTTTCGCTTCTACTTTCGCCTTTTTTTATTCAACCACTCCCTCCGTCCCATACTAGTGTAGTGTCAAAAAACGTCTTACATTATGGGACGGAGGGAGTACCTTTTACTCAAAATGCGCATATAGATAATGTTTTTTTGCAGCTTGTCCAGATTTGAGGAGCTCTGTGTGCAGTACTGAAACAATTAAGTTGCACCCGGTGACACGCTACCATTTCTGTGGTTGAATATTTGGTAATCAGATACTGTAACTTCCTTTGCTGGTTACATGTGTATATATTGGCTCGCACAATTCATTTGGTAACTACAACTTTTAATTAGTACTTCAGTTTATGATCTGGTTTCTCCGATTGGTTGTCCACGGTCTTGGACGCTTCTCCAGCCTCTCTGCGGTGCGGCCTGGTCTCCGTTGCCACCCTCATTGCCTGGTCACTCTGGCAATACCGCAATGCTGCAGTCTTCGACAAGATCATGCCCTCTACCTCGGACCTTGTTCGCGCGATCATGGAGGAAGCTCGCTCCTGGGCAGCTGCCGGAGCCACAGGAGTTAATGCATTAATCCCTGTAACTTGAACTGATGTTTTTGGGGCTGAGCATCCCCTCTGTCCTCTGCTCACCTAGCGTCCCGGCCACGCCAGCTTGTGTACGTGGCTAGGTCGCTTCTCTGTACTTTCTCCCCTCTATCAATGCAAAGATACGCTCCAAAGCGTATTCGTGAAAAAGTTTATGATCTGGTGTACCATCTGAATTGGCTGAATCTTACAGATAAGGAAGTTTGTGGCGTCAGGCTGCACACAATCATGACATTGTAGATTCTGCGCTGCACCAAAAGTGAAGTGCTGTTGATATTTTGTAGGTACCTTCTTCACCTAGCTTAAGTGGTACTGGTTTAGTGGCAATTGGTTCTTTCGCTTTATCTTCATACCTTGCTTTTGCTATATATGAGAATTAGAAAATCCGCGAGTTAAAAGCTTCCATTGGGCATGGCACGGGCCATCAGAATCAGAACAGGAAGAAAGGTATGGTCCACCCACAACATAGCACAAATGATTCAGTCAGCAACAACACTTGAATTTGTGCATACACAACATACTATAGGTACTTAAATGGAAATTTAGGTTGTCATACCAAATGTCAGATGTTTTATAGTTTATAGATACTCCGATGAATGCATGCATATTACAGGCTATGATTCATCTCGCCTGAAACCGCATTTACACTGCAGGCTGTACCTCCTCATCTTGATGCAATTTTCCGCCATCCTGGCACTCACATGCAGCTTTCTGATTATTTTGACATCAATATATTCAGAGAAAACAGTACCTGCCTTTCAACTCATTGATCAGCTTCGACCCTTCGAGAGAAAACAGTACCTCTACAACACAGGTACGTACATGGGTACAATGAGTTGAAAGGCAGTTCCAAGGGTCGGAAACATAGGTAGTAGCAAGTCAGTACTACAGGGAAGAGTTGTATATGTAACTGCAGTTTGTGGTCTGTAGATATATGTGCATGACAATACATGTACCTTTCGGCCACCCAAGGACAAACCTTATAAAAGTAAATCAAAATGTGGTTAGACTTCAATGCAAGTACTTCAGTAAGCAACACACTATTTCCACCAATCCAGACTCAAAACTAAAACACAGCAAATTAATTGGACACACCAGATTACCAGTCATCTTGAGTCCCCAACAGGAAGGCCATGGCCTCTCTAATCATGCTTGTGTCATGGACCATTTGGAACGAGCGGAATGCCCGTGTTTTTTGAAACAAGAGCGCCCCACCACCAATCTTGCTAAACAACATCATCTGCGAGGCAAACCTTTGGATCACCACGGGAGCTAAAAAATTAGGGAACATTATTTTGTGTGAGTAATCATCCATGCCGTGTAAAAGTGTACCCTTGTAACAAACTCTATTCTTTTTTTATTTAATAGATGAGGCAAATCTTTTGCCTCCATTTCAAAAATAAAATAAAATAAGTTGTTATGACGCAAGATTCGCGCCGCTAAAGACATTGTGAAGCAAACTAAAGTGGGTCCAAAACTCTCAACAATTTTACCAATCGGACATACCAGATTCCCAATCCATCATTATCTTTTATTGGTCACCTTGACAGAATGGTAAAATATGTGAATATAACAAGTACAGTATAGTTCTGTAAGCATCAGCAGAATAAGATGGCAACTCAGAACTTCAACAATGGGTCCACACAGTGAGCACTGCCCACCATCCTCAAAGTGATGGCTAGACAGAGAGAGTTAATCAATGTCTGGAAAATTATTTGAGAAGTATGGCATTTAATGAGCCCAAGAACTGGTGCTCCTGGTTGTTCTTGGCAGAGTGGCGGTTCAATACCACTTATCACATTGCAACAAAATTTACTCCATTTCAGTGCATGTATGGATTTCCTCCACCTATGATTGGCGAAGTCTCAGTACCCAGACCAATAGATGCTGATGCCCAAACTTTTCTCCAGAAAAAAGAAACTATGATGGCTCAACTCAAACACAACCTTCTAGTAGCACAAGAAAGGATGAAAAAGTATGCAGATAGAAACATAACATATAGACAATACAATGTGGGAGATATTCTTTATTTAAAGATGCAGCCTTACAGACTTGCAGCATTTGGTATCAAGACAGGCTTGAAACTTACAACAAAGTTCTATGGCCCTTTTTTCAATGCAAGGACTTTAAAATTAGATAATAATTTTCAAATTTAAGAGCATTTTTTCAATTTGAGAACAAATTTTGGACTCACGAACAGTTTTCGAATTTTGGAACTTTTTTTAAAACTTAATTGATATTTTTTAAACAAAGGAATTTTTTAAAATCTCGAAGAATTTTAAAGAAGCTAAAAAAGAAAAAACAGAAAATAAAAATAACAAACAAAAATAAACGAAAAAATTTAGGGAAGGCCTGCCACGTAGCTGGGCCGGCCCAAGTTCGAGCGACGGGGCGCGGCCTCGCTTTCCACCGCACGGGTTGGGAAATAGGAGTCCCGGTCCGAGCCGGCTACCTATCATCGTAGGAGATTCTCAAAAAAAAAAGACCTAGGATATGTACGCAGGTCAGATCTAGAAATACGACGTACAGATACGACCGACCTAGACAATTACAAATACCTAGGTCCGGATCTGGAAATACGTAGATACTGGAACCACATACGTACCCCGGCTTTCGCTTTCGTTTCGAAGCTCTCGCGTTGGGCGGCAAGGTGATCGGCGGAACACGAAGATCAAATCGAGTAAGTCGCCTTCTTCTTCCTCCGTCGATCCGATCGAATTAGGGTTCGTGCTTTTCGTCCCCTTTTCTGCTTCCTTGGTCTTTTGTCTCTGTTCTTGACAGGGCAAGATCAAGATGGCCGCGGTTCTTCCTGCGCTGCTGCCAACCCCACCGTCGGCCCCAATCGCTACGTTGCTCAAGACATCGCGGACGGACGGGAAGCCTGGCCGTGCGTCGGCGAGCCGGAGATGGATAGATAACAAATTTATGATTCTGGCCGCCGCGTCGGACTTGACCGGCGGTGAGCGCGTCGGACGCGTGCTGTCGGAGATGAGCGGAGGCGAGCGAGTCAGACGCGTGGCATCGGACATGGGCGGCGGCGACCGTGCCGGACGCGTGGCATCGGACACGGACGGCGGTGATCGTGCCGGACGCGTGGCATTGGGCATGGGCGGCGGTGACCGCGCCGGTCGCGAGGAGTCCCGAACAAGCTGGAGCGCTGTCAAGAGGCCTGCCAGCCGCGCTCCTTCCACCGATCGGTGTGACAAGAAGCCCAAGGCTCCGGTCGACAAGGAAGCTGCTCCGGAGACAGAGCAACTGTTCGCTGGCCCGACGTTCATGAGCGTCGTGCCCCCGGATCCGAGCGAGCTCCCGATCCCTTGCTACTTCATGAAGAAGGCCCGCTAGTGGACTAGCAAGTAGCAACAACACATGGGATTGGTCCCTTACTACAGTCGTCGTCGTCGTCGTGTAATCTTGCTTTGTAGCCCAATTTCAGCGCTTGTTAGATGCGCTTCTAGTAGTGTAGTAATTTGTCATGGCTCTGGGTTGTGTTCATGTTAGTAAAACCCAACCCAGAGAGGGGCGGATGGGTGGCATGACAATCATAAACTATCTTCCATGTTATTTTACTCCCCTTGCAATCCTTCCTGCAGTCTTTCCTCTACTGAAGAGTGAAGAAACCCTGTTTTAAGATCACCGTTGAGCCTCACACCTGCTCCGCTAAATCTGTCGCCATAATCAAGACTGGAAATCTGTAATAATCTTCAAGATTGGAACAAGGCAATGTTTCTAGCTAGTCTCTGTTGATTTAACAGGTCGCTTCATTTGTAATCCTTGATCTGGAGCAGCAGTTCCATTTCTACTGCTAGAGCAGAGCTCCTCTGCAACGAACTGGCCATCACAACACAAAGAAAATTATGGTCCACCCACAGCATTGCACAAATGATTCTGTTAAACAACAAATGGGACCTTCACACAGACACTTGAATTTGCGCATACACAACATAATATAGGTACTTAATTGGAAATTTAGGTTGGCATACCAAATGTAAGATGTATTACAGTTTATAATACAGGCTTCTGAAACCGCATTTACACTGCAGAGTGCAGACCCGTACCTTCCTCATCTTGATGCAATTCTCCCCATAGTGGTCTCGAGTAATTAACATGCAGCTTTCTGATGACTTTGACATCAATATATTCAGAGAAAACGGTACCTCTACAGCACAGGACACGTTGAAATGGCATTTACTCGAGCAGGCATAAATGTAAACCTGACATGTTGAACTCACCCACGATTACAAACAGCTGAATGAGAAGACATACTAATTGACCACGCGTTTCTCTTTTCTCATTTCAACCTCCCAACTAGAAACAAATCTAGTTGGTTGATTACAGTGACTTCCACTTTTCTAGATTGATCAAGCGGACTTGCTCCTCTCTTATTTAAACTACACAGCTGAAGATAAACCACTTATTTAAGCACGAGCTATGCAAGAAACCAGCACCAGCAGGTTCATGTCGACAGATGTATCAATGCATCATCACTGGCGTTCAATTGACGAATAGCACGATCTGCAAAGATATGAGTCACAAAAATCATAAGCATGTCAGCTAATTGAATGGAAGCAGCGCAGCTGCATTTCGTAAAGAAAAAAAGAAGAAGCATAAGCATGCCATTGCTAAAACTTCACTTCTACGAAGAATGAAAATTGGGACATACAAATGATTGAGTTTGGAAGGTGTGCTTCAGGTTGAGTACAAACTACTCCCTCTGTCCCATAATATAAGCGTTTTTGACACTTTTTTGACACTACATAGTGTCAAAAACGCTCCTATATTATGCGACGGAGGGAGTACAAAGGAGACAACATATACAAGTTCCCGGTTATACTTATCTAGTTCATGTTCCAGCACAGATACCATCATCCATATTTTTATGTTGCTTGCCAACAAAAATACTACGTACTTGTACTATGGTCTCTGAGACTCTGACCAAAAATTCCCAATTCATAACTAAATAAATATCCAAACACGATGCTAGTACCTGGAGTGTAGAAGCTGGTGTAGGGAATGGCAGTGCAGACGCTTCCCCTGCTGGACACCTTTCTTACTCGGCCGGACTTGAGCTCGATGGTGAACAGGCCAACAATAGTCCTCACGAAAATGACACCGACGCCTTCGGCGAAACCACTCACATCGGGCGTGATCATGAGGGCGCGAGAGGTGAGCAGCTTCCCGAGGTCGACGACACGATGTTGTACCCACGCTGCAGCTCCATCGGGATCGACTTCCATGGACCAGAGGTAGATGCTGGATTCCTGCACGCCTGCAAATCCCAGTGTGCCGTCCTCCGCTGTTATGAGGACGATGTTATTCTCATGCACGTCCGGCCGGTCAATCACCGATAGCTTCCTCTCGCCAACAAAGTCGCATTGCAGAATTCGCGTGCTCGGATCGCAGAGGAAGTAGACTGCGTTTCCCGAGAGGGCGCTTGGCTGCATCTCGATGGAAGCATCCGGATGCTCAACAAAGCTCGTGCTGCTCCATGAACTCGCTTCCGACGAGTAGAAGCACGCGGACGTGATCCAGATCCCCTCCTCCTTGTCGGTGCCCACGAATGCCACAAGGAAGGGGTCGTCGCCATGGCAGTCGAGGTGGTCGCAGCCATCTACGGCGCAGAGCACCGCCGCGTTCCAGGACTTGGGGGTCTCGGGAAGGGGAATCCTCCGGTGCCCGTCGGTGACGGGGTCCCAGACGACGAACTCAGCAGGCTTCTGTTCTGATTCTGAATCGTAGAAGAGGGCTCGGCCATGGCGGGCATCGAGTGCGTACCAGCAGCGGCGGTCGGTGCGTGGCGGGCGGAAGGACTTCGCGGTGGGGACGAATCGGGCGACGCAGGGATCCTCGTCGTAGAGGCGGTGGAGGAATCCCAGCATGGGCGGTGCCCCGTGGAACTTGCGGTAGCTGCGGAGGAAAGCGTTACCCGTGAGGAGGCGGCGCCAGGGCTTGGAGACGAGGCAGGCGCGGACGAGGCACCCGGGCTCGTCGGGCGGGAGGCGGAGCAGGATCTCCACGACCACATCGTCCATCAGCGCCGTCGCCGGCGGCATGTCGGAGGAGTTTTTGCTGGGGACGGAACAAGAGGAGGAATGCGACAAGTACTGCTTCGGCTCTCTTGTCCGTTCTCACTGCCTCCCGGCCCCACTCAAACTGTTAAGAGTAAGAGATGTCAGATGGGAAAGTCTAGAGTGAATCTTTCTTTTCTTTTCTTTTTTATAGGAAATACAACCTGTATTTTTAAAAATAGTAGAAACTTCTGATTTATTCATCTTCAGTCATGACAATACAACGAATAGAAGTAATAAAAAATAGAGAATTAACGGTCTGTCTAACATTAGGGTTATTATTGGGTGTAGGGGGAGGGAGAGGCTCACCCCCTAAAATTCAGGGGAGGAGAGATTAATCGGTTGAAAGGATAGTGTAAAATTTATGTAGGTATAAAATTATCGTAAAATATACATCCATATTTGTATACCACCTAGTGATGATTTGTAGTAGACAATTAAAAAGTTGTCATGCTAAGAACCCAAAGTAGGAAGGATTATGCTAGGTAGCGTTTCATATCAAAAACATTTTTTTTATCATTTATCTACTTGAGGATGAGTAGCAATTAAGCTTGGAGATGCTGATACGTCTTCGTCGTATCTATAATTTTTGATTGTTTCATGCCAATATTCTACAACTTTCATATACTTTTGTTAACTTTTTATATTATTTTTGGGACTAACATATTGGTCCAGTGCCCAGTGTCAATTCCGTTTGTTGCATGTTTTTTGTTTCGCAGAATTGTTGAGAAACGCAGCATGCAATTTTAAGAAAATTCGTACGCTCACGCAAGATCTATTTAGGAGACGCACATCAATGAGAGGGAAAGAGTGTGTTCACGTATCCTTGTAGACCGAAAGCGGAAGCGTTCGACAACGCGGTTGATGTAGTCGAACTTCTTCTCGTTCCGACCGATCAAACACTGAACATACGGCACCTCCGAGTTCTGCACACGTTCAGCTCGATAACGTCCCTCGAACTCTTGATCCAGCAAAGTGTCGAGGGAGAGTTACATCAGCATGACGACGTGGTGACGATGATGGTAAAGTGATCCGCGCAGGACTTCGCCTAAGCACTACGAAGATATGACCAGAGGTGTAATCTATGGAGGGAGACGCCGCACACGACTAATATATGTTGTTGTGTTTTCTAGGCGCCTCCCCCTCACATATATATATATATATAACACTATTCTGATCACGGGATCAGAATAATATTATGATCATAACCTGAACTGCCTGCGTAACACGCCTGAACTTCCCTTTGTACGAACCCGACCTTCGGATTATCTTCGCAACCGTGGCTTCCCCCGCGAATTATTCTGGTTAATCGTGTTCTATATGATGTTAGTGTAATCTAGAAACATTTTTTAGCAACTAAATACCGGTTTTAAATAGGAATCTCGCTCGTTGGCGGATTTTGCTCTCGGGTCATGATAAAATTACATTTTTTGTAATTTTACTGCCTGAGTTGTTCGACCTGAACTTCCCCTGTGCTAGGTTGAACTTCCGCCAACATTGTCCAAATGAGGCTTGTGATACACCGTTGGAAAGCTATGTACACAAGTATCATGACCCAAGTCAATTTTTTGACAAAATGTAAGCGGTTTAAGAGCAGTTTCGAAAATCATTTTTTCTTCATACAGAAAACGTGAATCGTATTTTCGATCACATTTCTAAACCGTTCATCGGAATGAGGCAAATAATATGGTGTTGGAAAGCTACTGCAAAACCGCTCCTTCCACATATTGAATGTTTTCTCTAATTCCCTATGGATAAAGAGTAATTTGGCAAATCGTAAAATTTCGCAAATTGAACAACCGAGTTCGTATTTTTATGACATTTCTAAACGGCTAATGCAATTGAGGCAAATGATATGGCATTGGAAAGCTTATGGAAATACTCTACTTTTTCACGCTAAAAGTTTTTTCTAATTTTGAACGGTTTAAAAGTAATTTAGAAAATGGTATAAGTTCCACGAGTTCGTATTTTCGAGCTAATTTTTTAACCGTAATTCCGAATGCAGCAAATGATATGGCGTTGGAAAGCTTGGGAAAATGCGAAACTTTTTGGTATATATTATTTCTCCCAATTCGTTACAGTTTTAAGTCAATTTTGAAAATGGCTAAAAACATATGTTTGCTGTAATTTCTAAAACTTTATCGGAATGTGGCAAATAATATACCGCTGAAAAGCTACGGAAAATGTGAAAATTTTCATGTTGACGGTTTTCTCTGATTCCTATCCGTTTCAAGTAATTTCGAAAACGACGAGATCACCATTCTGTCTTTATCGCGAAACGGATTTTTCAAAAATGCACCACGTGAAGACTTGAACTTCTCGGCATGTCTACTTGAACTTCACTCTATTTTTATGTGCTTTTTTCTATCCTAGTTCTCCATCCACTCACCGGAATTGAGCAAGTGATATATTGATGAAAAGTTGTTGTAAACACACAACTTTCCCGTGTTGATCATCTTTTCATACTCGCGATTGTTTTAAAAGTTTTTCATCCGAATTCATTCAGTGCAGTCGTTGAACTTCCTACTGTTTTCACGTTGAACTTCTGTGACGTATTTTCGTTTATAATTTTCTCATCCATTCGTTAGTGTTACACAAATGATATTCCTTTTATACAAACCTCTTTTTTTTTATTTTTTCCGACCGAGGACTTGAACTTATAATAACAAAAAATGGACATTGCCCTTTAATTCATTTTTCTCATATTAAACACACACCATGTAGTACATTAACTTTATCCATTGTAATTTGAATTTTTTATTTTCTTTTTGAAATCAAATTGCTACCAAATAATAACTGAATTTCTTTGTGGATTGAGAGAATTGTTTTAAAATGCATTTTTTCCCTTTTTGTGTTTTGAAACAAGGAAATACAAGGTGAACCTCTCTCGCAAGAATTTTGAACCTTCCCAGATAGAGCACTTGAACTTCTTTCAACAAACCTTTTAAGCTTTCATTTTTTATACTTTTATTTTCACCTGAAATGCATTTATTACAGTACTTGAACTTCTCGTTGTTTTCATCATGAACTTCTGTCACATTTTTGTGTATAAGTCGAATTACATACAATTGAAGGTCGGACATCATTTTTTGCCATTTTTGAAAACATGTAATTGGAGGTCGGACGTCCCGCAATATAAATTCCGATCCTTGCACGGAGGTGCACGTGAACTTCTTGCAACAAGTCTGAGTTTTTTATATACTTCGAACTTCTATGTTATTTTAAATTGAACTTCTTAGTCTTATTTCCTCGAAAAAAATATGTTTTCAAATAAGCATCAAACATTTTTTAAATTGAACCACATACTTTTATTTTCCCTAGAAATGGAAAGAATTTTAGATTTTCCATATACATCAATTTTTTATTTCTTGATTTAAATTTAACTTCATGATTTTATTTCTTTGGTAGCAAGGAAATATATTTTTTATAAATACCGAACTGCTCTATTTTTGTAAATTGGACTTCTTGGTTTCCTAGTTTTGTAATAAGTATTAAACCGCTTTGTTATTTAAATTTGAACTTCGAAAGTTTTTTCTTTTGAAATGGTGAAATCCTTTTTATGAATTTTGAACTGTTCTATTTTAAGATTTTGAAATACTGTGTTATTTTATTTTGAACTTCGTGTTTTCATTCTTTAATAAGCAGCAAATTTTGAATTTTGTATAAACATCACACTGCTCCATTTTTTCAATCGAACTTCTAGGATTTTTTCTAACAGAGAATATCCCGTCTTTATTTAAAAAATGAGATGTTTTTTCATTCTACCTTCTTGGGTTTCTAATAAACTTTGATCTTCTTTGTCTTTTAAATTTGAACCCCAAGGTTTTTTCTTGAAACGGGGAAATCCTTCTTTTTATAGTTTTTGAAATGATCATTTTTTAATTTGAAATTCTAGGTTTTTCACTCGTGTGCGCACAGTTTTTAGAGAGAAAATAAAGTATGCGTACATTTTTGTGAAGTAAATAGCAAGAGAGAAAAATATAAGGATATAGTGTTGAGAGAAAGCCTATTGCTTAGGCCAACACACGTCCATCAATCCTACAAGCGCGCGCACACACACACATGTCCTGTAACCACACGGGAGTATAACTGTAGTACAACTTGGCGTACATCTGTAGTAGAATTTTCATGGTCGCTGACATACAACTGTAGTAGAACTTAGCGTATAGCCGTAGTAGAACTTCACCACCACCGGCGTTTAGTCGTAGTAGAACATATAGGTGTAGTAGAACGTCTTGTGGTGATAACAAGTGCAGGTGGCGCAACTTGCTACTGCAGAAGCAGTCAGCAGAAGGAGGGCTGACTCGGCAACAGAAGGCTTGCGCGTGCGGATTCAGATTGCTTGCGCTGGATACTGAACAAAAGGATTCTGCCAGCGACCGCATTGGTCTAGCGACGCGAGGTGAGTGGCATCGCGAAGGGAGTGAGAGGAGCCAATCAACACCTGCCAGTTCAGATCAATAATTTTTTGTTAGTTCAAAATTAAGAGTAGATAAGCAGCAAGACTAGCATATTTTCCCTTTTTTTTGTTTGTAGAAGATGTACATTGGTGCTGCTGTTTGAAAACGACCTCTGTTGCTGTGTGAAGACTAACACATCTGGTTGAGTATTCTACAAACTTGTCCATCCGCTTCAATAATTCATAGCATTGACCATACAAATTCAGAGTGCATTCAATAGTAGGAATGACATGACACCATCAACTGTCGACTAAATCTAACATCCTACAATCAAATTATGAACAAGTGAGGTCGTGTTGTAAAACATTGTTGATCTAGAATTATTTTTTCACCTGCTAGTAGCTTTTTCCTACAGCTGCTCGTTGCTGCTTGCTTGCCTGCCAAAAGCAGCACCCACGTGCCAAGAAATGTTGCTGCTGCCGGCCAAATCGTCAACTGCACATGTATGTGGCACAAAGGTGTTGGTTTTCCTTAAAGAGAGGTACAGTGAACTGTCTGTACATAGAGGCTCAAAAAGGAATATAC